ACTTGTATTTTTGCCTCTCAGGGAGTATCTTAAAATTTCGTTCGAAGCTTTTTTCTTATTGTGATGAATGTTTATTTGAATTTAAAAAGCATCAAACTTGGAAATGCTATGGATCAATTTAGTATCAAAGATTTTCAGGCTCGCATAAATTTAATAATAAATGTATTCATTTTTTTACTCTTATATTTCACTTGAAACACTATTTATTTGAAATATCTTGCTTCAAATGTTGTGAGAGGCTAAAATATCTGAAACTTAAGACATGAAGGAGAAAAATAAGAGAACTGACATTGCACCACATGAGCAACTACTTGCTTAAGAACTATTAAACCTAGAGAACAGTTTACAAGTACTGCAGGCGAAGAAACGTTAAAAATTTTCTAAGCAAGGGGTAATAAATAATGAATGTTGTAAAGTAAAAAGGTATAAAAAGTGCACTTAAATAGATAAGTTTTTTAAAAATTCTTTAACATATATATCGAGATAAATCTAGATAAAACCTTAAAAATAAGCAGATTAAGAAATAGCTAGCAGAAAGAACGTTTTTTTAAGAACTTTTAAAAATAGACAATGCTCTACAAATATCGCAAGTTTAATATTACACGTAAAGACGTTTCTTAACTTGCAATGGAGTATAGCTGCTTATTGATTGTAACAAGAATATTTTCTAACAAGAAACTGGTAAAGATGACTGTTGTTGTGGTTCATTTTCTTCGCAAAAGAGCTGCACAATGGGCATTTGGCTACGGTCTGGGAAACATCCCTGAGGATGATCCGAGGACATGCGATCACAATTTTGATCCTCTACAGAGGGGATAACACCCCTGCTTCGATAGTCCGACGATCACGGTAAAGATGAAAGGAATAACTCTAGCAATAAATTCGTATTACAAAACAAGAATTTCGCGTAACAACTTCATAGAGTTTTTGTTTTTAGTTCAAAACTTTTTCCCAAATTTCGCAGAAGACATTCAATATATAATAAAAAAAAAACAATTAAAAATCTCATACTATTAGTAAATGTATCAAAAAATCATATTACTTGATTTTCGATAATTTTTCTCAAACCGTTTTCTGTTGCAAATATATATAGAGCCATCTGTCGAAGTTTCTTGAAATTTAAACCGGAAACTCTTGAAAAAAAAATTATTCTTTCTCACATGAATTTACGGCAAATTTTTTTTTTTTAAATTCATTTGTTTTCTTGTTATAAATTTTTTTATGATCAAAAGTGTGCTTTTGGACATCCTATCAATGAACAGCTGGAATTTGTTAGTTTGTAGGTTCAAATTTTAAAGATTATGCAATATTTTATAAACGGTATGATACGCACAACGACAAAATGCAATTAAAATATCCGCAACTTCAATAAAAGAAAATATTGAAATACCCAGCCAAAGTGACATAGCACTACCTAAACAGCTAAATATTTCAGAGTTACTAAACATGGCTAATTATTTGTACGTACGGTGAGACAAAGTTTTGTAAAATACTCTCAAAATGGCATAATTGTCTCTGAAATTTGTTAATAAACAAGTTCCATTAACAAAAAAACGTGATTTGATTGGCAAAGCAGCCATTGATATCTCTCTATGGTAAGAGGTCGAATAACAAGATAAAGGGCAATAACAAATGGAAACATTCCCAGAGATTAGATTTTGTACATTATCTAAGCAACATACGTTTGTTTTGTTTTCAAAATCGCAATGCTTTGAATTTGAAATAAAAATGACAGAAGGATCAACGCAACCACAAGTATTCAAACTTTGGAATTGGAGACACATTTTGAAACATTCAGCTTCGTTACTATAGTAATTATGCATCTTGTAATCGAGACAGTGATCTTTAAATGGCGATGGTAGACGTTCGATTTTAAATTGTTTCAAAGCAATTGAAGTTTCGAAACCAGGACTGATATTCACACCATCTTTTTCTGGATTCGGCGCTTCTGAAATATCTTGAATTGATACTCTTACACCGATTGCCGTGCTAGGTGTAGTAGCTGAATATTGTTCTGTCTCTGCATTCAAATGTAATTCCAAACCACTTTTGTACCCTATTGATGTCGACTCTAAATCACTTTTGTTAAAAGTAAAACAATTTCCATATTGCAAGCTTTGGAAATGAATAAAATCGTCAAGAGAGCATAACTGCATGTTGAAAACACAATGTTTGATTAGATCTGCTTTTTGATGTCCAGTAAATCTTCGGTTTTCATCGTCCATTTTCATGTAACGAGCAAAAGAAGTTGATTCGCTTCTTTTTGAGTTGAAAACAGTTTGATCTCGAAAATAGGAGCAGGAANTGAAAACACAATGTTTGATTAGATCTGCTTTTTGATGTCCAGTAAATCTTCGGTTTTCATCGTCCATTTTCATGTAACGAACAAAAGAAGCTGATTCGCTTCTTTTTAAGTTGAAAACAGTTTGATCTCGAAAATAGGAGCAGGAAATAATGTTTCGTCGCTCAGTATAAGGCATAAATCCGGAGATCATATCTGCATTAAAGATTTGACAACGATTAATGATGTCAAGGTTTCTGCAATAATCATACACAATTTTCTGCCGATTCAAGTTGCAGACAGTAACAGCAGGAAATTTCAGTTTCGACTCGTATTCATCCTCTACTGTAATGACAATAGGGAGAGTCAGATAAACTTTCAAAAATTTCTCAGTCTCATGAATGCACCCACCGATTCCTATAAGCAGTAATAACAACCAAGTTAATTTTCCAACTGCTGTGTCTGCCTTTCTGATTTTCGATATCGCTCGAATTGATGAATCTTTTGAGTCCTGATCACGAGGGCTAGAAGTTAACTTAAAAATAGACTTTTGCTTATTCAGTTGAGAGCGCCCATGTTTGAAATATATCTTTATGTGATTTGCACATTTTCTACTTGTTTTCCTTGGAATGATTTCCTTCATGTTCTTACTTCCATCATTCATTTTTTATATTAATGCAGTAATCATTCGCAAAAATAGGATATGCTTTTGTTATACGATTTTTCTAGAATAAATTTTTTTTTCAATTTAAGTTACAAGTAATCTAAAATAAACATCCTTATTTATGTTAAAATAAAATCATTCTTCGATGGAAGAGGGGAAATATTTTGCCACAAAATTATTGTGAGTCATATTTTGTACATCTTCAGCATCTGAGAAATGAGGTTCACTCTTTCCGTGTGAACTCTTTGAAGAATCATCTTTAATAAATTATGAAAATACAATTCACGATCCAGCTATTACATCTATTGTATCTAATATGCAATGTATTGAAATTCCTTTGAAAGTTGCTTTTAAAAGTAAATGCGTTTTAGAGAAATTAATACATGCTCTTTCTTCGGAAGTTTTAATGAAGTTTAATTCCTTCTCGTGATATCGAATTAATCTTACTGTTTCACATTTTTCATTTTATTTGAAAGAAATTAAAAGAAAGTCAATAATTATCAAGATGATCAGTTTCTGGTCTATTTCCTAGCTAGTCGAAATATTCATTCATTAATAAGTAAATCTCGCATCTTTAAAATTACTTCTAGATATCTTTATTGCACAGTACTCATTAAATTAAAAGATACATCATGACTTCCAAATATCTAGAAATATTCAGTTGCTTTCAAAATAATTTACTCATTTTTAAAGTTCTCGTGTTTGTATGAAGTTTCTCGCCGGAGTAACTTTTATTCTTAAAATTAATTTGAAGGATTGATTAAATTTAATTTGATGATACAGCGAAAGTAGTATCTGGTTGTAGACAAAGAAGTTTTTTTGATAAAGTATTTATTTGTACTATCTTTGAAAAGAGTTTTGATAACTTTATCTCTTCAAAAATTAGCTAATTGAATTAAATTGGAAGTGAATGTTGAAAATCGTTATTGAAACAATGAAAAAACATGTTAAAAGGGCATGTAAATGGAACACGAACTTACCATTATAATTTCCATAATTTGTTATAAATCTTTTCTTAACACTGATAAATGAAACTGCAATTATTTTTATGTGATTTTACAGTCAATAACTTGGTTATTGGGAATCTTTTATTAGAAGAATAACTTAAAAAAATTAGAAAAAGAACTAGTTTTTATAAACTTCTGTTTGACAGAATTTCACAAATGAAGTAGTACAAGCCTGCATTTAAATAAAACTTTTATAAATGCTAAACAGCTTGCACAATTCAAGCTAATAATCACGGATAATCCCGCGTATTCATAGCGTAATTTATTTGAGAAAATATAAACTTATAGAGCCCTATAAATGCTCAAAACACAAGTCAAAATAATGAGTAATTATATTTATTTAAAGTACTTATTTCCTTTTTAAAATTTTTGAAGTTTTTTCCGTTNCGGTCTGCAATCCATGGTAAAACTTTTATAACTGCTAAACAGCTTGCACAATTCAAGCTAATAATCACGGAAAATTGCGTATTCATAGCTTAATTTATTTGAGAAAATATAAACTTATAGAGCCCTATAAATGTTCGAAACACTTACTTAATTTATTTGTTTCTTTTAGAGTTAAAAACTGTTTGATTTCGAAAATATGAGCGGGAAATAATGTTTTGTCTCGCAGTAAAAGGCATAAGGCCAGAGGCTATATCTGCATTATATTCATCACAACGATTAATGATGTCAAGGTTTCTGCAATAATCATACACAGTTTTCAGTCGATTCACGTTGCAGACAGTAAAGGCGGGAAATTTCAGTTTCAACTCGTATTCTACTGTAATGACAATAGGAAAAGTCAGATAAACGTTTAAAAATCTCTGAATCTCATAAACGCACCCACTGATTCCTAACCTCCAGGAAAGACAACACTACCTATTATGCGACCACTTTTGGGAGGCACGGAATTTATTCTATAGACTTTGTGTTGAAGAAAACATTTAAGAGAGACCATTAAAACCTCTCCCAGTAACTGGAGGAACATCTGCACCAAATGTGGAAAAGGTCAAATAAGAAAACACAAAAAATATCAGGAACAAAAAATGGGGAAAAAACAAATACGTAGATCAAAATTTATTCAAAATATTTGGGAGAGGCCCTTATTTAAAGAGCTCTTTTTGACGATATAAACTCATGCTGCAATCAGAGTGCACTAAATGCGATGCTGTCAATGATTTTTTCTTAAGAGTAGAAAGTTAAAATTGAGAAAACAAGCATCTCAAATAAACACACTTCTTCTCACCTCTTAAAGCTAACTACATTTTATGATATAAAATTAAATGCAAATTTAAACAAAATACATAGTTTTTTTTTATTTATTTAAAATAGCTTTATCATTCATAATTGGCAAATAAGTTTTCGCATATTATTAAATTAGTTGGGATCATTTTTACAGAAGCTAAATTTTTATCATCGATGCGTCTCTTAATGATGCCAATAGAAGTGGTATTTCCGCACCAAGAAAATGACGCTGACTAAAATTAAAATCGTTTGAGAAAAAACATGTATCTTTGATTAAAAAAAATTTGAATTCAATTTAGGTAACCTCTAAGAACAACCATCCCTATCAGCGACCAATTATCTGTGGCCAGGAGGGTCATCGCTCCCAATATATATATTCCAAAACATTCATGAGAGGATGATAGTGTATTTTTTAAGAGGTATAATACTTTAAAAAAAAAAAAGAAGCGAAACGTTGGCGTCTCTTATGAAATAGATTTTCTGCATTTTTTTCAAAATTATTAGGGAATGAAGTCGTAAATTGATCTTTCATTAAGGGTGATCACAAAGGTTTTTTTTTTTCCATCTTTTTTTCTTCCCAGCATGCAGAACGTTTGGACTGGAATTTTATATTTTTCTTTCGCATTTTAACTCTATTGTCAACGCACTTTTTTCTTTGCAATGCCAGGTATAACATATCTACTTAATAAATTTGGAAAGAATTAAATCCAATCTTCCCTTCCCAATCTTATCCAATCTTCAATTCAGAGTATGCTTTTTGTATCAAAATTTTGAACCAGGTAAATATATTTTGAGTATAATAACCGTTTGTATGCAGCAAAAAATATTCTAACAGCTATCTAATTCTCTAATAGCTTTTAGTATTGTGTACAAATATTTAAAACTAATTGCACAATCAATTTCTTGATTGAATATTAATTCTTCATGATTCCATAGACTTAACTCATTCTTCGTGTAATATTCATTAAAAACTGAAACGAGAGTCAATAGTGTTTTCTTCTCTGTATACATTGTCTCGTAAAAATATGGAAGCCATAAAGCAATAAATATGCATTGCATCAAAAAATAAATAAATAAATAAAATGCTAGAAAAAGTTTTCAAAAAATTTTAATTTCACAAAACTCGGTCTGAAATCCATGGGTTGGTGGGGCAACTTCGAAGTTTTAAATAGGAGCCCACATTTCTTATTGTAGTTTAGGATTATTCAGAAAATTGTATCCCAATATAAATTCCTTTTGTTTAAATTTCGCTTCACACTTGGCTTTTTAATCCTAAATTGAAAATGGAAATACTTCGGGAAAAGAAAGTTAGATTGAAAAATTAAAAATAGAAATATTTGTTATTTTATTATAATAAAATCTTTTGTCATATTCATATCTATTGACATATTTATACCTGTTATTAATTATATCTATTGACACCAAACTCTATCGACTCCAAATATATTATATAATAACCTCAAAAAATTGAAGAAAAGCAAGCAGAATCTAATTCCTGTGCTCGCTTCTCTCACCAACACCCATGATTCATATGCAGTCTTTCTTTCTTTTTTTTTTTTTTTACTTTCTTGACGATAGGCCAATTGTTACATCAAAATTAAAATAATTTGTGCAGGACAGTCCTCACGCACTACAAAATTTTGACTGTTTATTGTTGTGAAATTTTTGTAGTTGCGAAGAATATGCGTATAAAAAGTTTCACTTCAAACATAAATTTTTTGTTTCAATAAAGTTTCGATTTCGTCAGCAATACAGAACCTAAGAAAGGAGATAAAAAATACACACTGCCGTGACCAGGATTCGAACCTGGGTTATTGCGGCCACAACGCAATGTACTAACCACTATACGATCACGGCTACGCGTAAGAATTAGCTTTTAAAATAGAAGTTGATAAAAAAAACATTTACAAATGAAATGCCAAATGTAAAATAAATGGAGCATATCAAACTTAGTTAAAGTTACGTTCTTCTGCTCATAACCTAGATGGCAGCACTAAAAGAAATTTAAGATATATCTTCAAAAAGATTTCATTTTATTTAATATCATTTTATACGCTTAAAACTTTTCTGTTCAGTTATTTGTGTATTACAACAATCCCCAAAATTGTTTCTGCTAGGTAAGCAGATTGTTTCAACAATACTAAAAATTGTTCAATTAAAAAATTAGTACACATTTCTAAAAGAAGTTATTTTCACTACGATTCAATATTTTATACGTTTTACAAATTATATCCCCTAATATGATTTTTAATTTATGATATTTGATTGAGGACATTAAACAAAGGAATTTTTGTAAATATAGTTTACAAATAAAATATTTTTTGAATCTAAATTGATTTATATAATATTATATTGTTTAAAATATTATATATGATAGGCTAATAAATTATACAATTGATTGCAGCTTAATTTTTATGCACTTATATGAATCGAACTGATTCGTGTAAACACTTTCTTAATTAGAATTTGGAAAGTTATATTTTAAGAAATTTTAACGTAATTTCAAAGGTTTAAGTCATCTTATCATAAATTATATGTATGCGGTATTTTTAAAAAGTTCATCAATTTAAGTTTAAATTCAACCTTTTTAGTTTTTTAAATGTAATACCCGTAAATACAATATTTGTTTGTAGGAGATAGTTAATCTTTTTAAAAGATAAACTCTTATGATGACGGCAACATAAGAATTATTAATTTATTTTCTTTCCAACAAAATAATAATAATATGCCATCAAGCCGAACCAAACTTCTTATTTTAGACAGTTG